CGGTCGCAACGGTCGCTCCCCTCGGGGGCGGGCGGCGCTCCCGCGCGCTCCGCGGCGGCGGGAGCTGCTGACTCACCCCGGGGCGAGGGGACAGGGTTGAGGCGACTCCATCCTTTGGGGCCAAAAAGGGGCAAAAAAGGAAAAAAAATAAAAAGGGGGAAAATATCCACCGAAAATCAGAGCTGTGGTCTCAAGTGCTGCCTTGCTCCTTTTTATTTATTCATTCAATAATCTATTTATTTTAATATCCCCCTCCCCTTTGTCCCAAATGCGGGTTGTTTCTAGGCCCGGCACTGCAAAGCACCATCACCAAGTAGCAGCCTCCTTTTCCTAGGTGATATAAAACCGGTTTTTCTTTTCTCCGGCCCTCGGGCTCTGATGTTGGCTGTGTCTCCAGCAGCCGGGCAGTGAACCTGTATCTTCATGGCCTCGGCCAGGGATATCCCGTGTCATCTTTCCCCCGCCAGGACTTGCGTCACCCACTAAAACCGAGCCTTTTGCCTCAAGGTTGTTCTAACTTGGGGTTAGGCAGCTGCCTGCCGGAGATAACATATAGCCAGGCCCACACAGAGCTCTCTCCACACCAGACAGCACCTGCGGGGTCCCTGTATCCCGCTCTGGAGCAGGTACTGCTTTTATTGGATATTGGAGTCTTTCTGGCTATCGGAGGTATTTTATTCTTGTTGTTTTKGGGGCTATTTCTGGCTTTCTTGACTGTCTCTGGCTTCTGGAGCCCCCAAAGCTTTGCAATCTTAAGCAATTCTTGCAGTTGGAAAATACAGAGGAACTTTTTGTGTCCTTAAGGCAGGAGAACCAGGCAATTTGGAGAGCAGTGTGATTTCAGAACAGTAGCTTGATGTTTGCTGCATTGATTTAAACTATTTGTGACACTGCCAGTAGTTTTTAAAATACCAGGAACAGGCAATCTGCAAGATCCCTATCCTGGGGAATGCTGTAGCTTTCTCTGAGAGACACAAATTTTAGGCTTTTTGGATTAGCCCAATGTAGGAACCTCCTGCTCTGCAGCAGGAGCCAGAAACTTTGTAGGAAATTTTGTGTTTTCTGATGAATTCTCTCTTCTCCATTTTCTCTCAAGTTTAATGTTGAGGGATTTTCCAGATCAGACTCTAAGCTCCTCATCTTTCCTATCACTGTAATAATCTATTAATAACTAAAACATAAGAAACTGCTAACTTCTATAAACATATTTTTGTCTTTTATATGAGCAGCAGGTGTTTGCAGCTTATTTAACCCTCKCTTGCAAAGTCTCACAAAGAAATAGCTGCAGACTTACTGAATTCCAGTCAATTTTGGAACTTTTTTTCTCCCTTCCCCCCTTTAATCAATCTCCTTAGAAAATATATAAATTTTCTGACACCCAAGGGAGAGCAGCACTTTACATTTGAACGTGTGTTTGCTTTGTGCTAATCCTTTGCACTACAAGCCATTAAGTTTCAAACCCGACCTTCATAGATAACCCCAGAATGTCCTTTTTTTTTTTTTTTTGTTAGTTAAAGATGCTGATTGCCAAGTTTCAGTTTTCTGCCTATCTTAAAGTTATGGGCATTTCAAAATTAAGCAAATGTGGATGATGTGATATCCCTGGCTGACGCTGCTCTGGCGTACATACACTTTTTTTTTTCTTTTTGGTAGGAGACAACTCCTACTTTCCGTAAGATTTTGATTGGCTTTCCAAAGAGGCAGTGTCCTTTAAATTGCCCTGGCATTGCTGCTCCTGCTCTGTTACCAGCTGCTGGGAAGGTAAGGACGGGAGGGAAAAATTCCCTGTGGGATTGCATTATCCATAAATATAATGTGTGCTTATTAATTTAAGTTAGCGGCATGGGGGAAATAAGCCTCATATTCTAGGATAAATTGTCCTTATTTTGCTTAACCTAGAAAAGAACAGAATTAATGTTTGCCGTTATCAGCTTGATAATTAGTGAAAAAACACTCTGAAAAAGCAGTTGAAGGTAATATGGTATAAGAGGGTCATATTTCTGTGTTTAAGAATATGAATAATAGCTAAATGGTTACCTAAAATAAGAAGCCGTGGTCTATCAGAAAGTTTGCAATGTGAATGCAACTTGGAATTGCAAGTCTGCAATTTGTTTTCTCCACTTAGATGGAGAAAACAAATTGCTTTGTGTTAGGGGCAGCCTTCCCTTGTGCTTGTTCAGTGAAGTTTTTATCCCACACTGTTAATTTCCTTTCTATCTGGGCCTCTGCTAGTAGCTTTTAGTATTTATTACCTAGTTAGAACTTTTTTTCTGTCTTCCTCTTCCTCATATTTGAAATAGGAGAAAATGCATGTTGTAAATGGTCTTCTCGGAAATGACTGTACCGTGTGGTGATAGAAGGATTTTATTTATTTTTCTTTAGTGACTGGTAGTGTTTACTGTTCTGACTCAGCCTTGACTTGCAGTAATTTTTCAGTTGAAGCCAGTCTGGGGTTTTTTTTTGCAAGTGAATTTGGAGAAACCAGACTAACGGGTGGAAAAACTGCTTTCATCCTAGGGTGGCATTTTTATAGCAAAAAGCTTTGGTATGTGTATTTAGACTGTAGAGCTCAAAATGTAAAATGCACTTTTAGCTGCTCCCAGGGGAAGTTTTGCAGGATGGGGATCATAGGAAGTCCTCCTAAAATAGCTAAACTAGCTTTAGTATTTTTTTTTTAACAGAAAAGCATTATCATGGCTCTTTAAAGAACTATTCATTATGCTGGTTTCCTAGGTGGAAATATGTATCTTATGATAACAAATTATCAGCACATGCCTGTCTATCTTCTGATGTCTTCCTCTCTTCATCCCTAGCTATTTTTGCACCTGTAGGTTAATTTCAAGAACACTTCATATAGGGACTGAGTCTTGAAAATGGCATAAGAGCATCTCCGTTCTGTGAAGGCAGATTATAGAGGAGAGGAATTTTATTAGTATCGTCACTGAAGATAAGACGCACTGTCAGAGCTGTACAAATTGACACCAGAGAGAATTCAGATAGGAAAAACATCTCTCAAATTGCTGCCTGACTTCTTGGATATCCATTAGTCACCTGTGTAATTTAAGCCTGCGCTTTCAGTGCTCAAAGAACAGCTTGTTTGCACTAGCTTTGCGAGCAGAGTTTAAATGGATTATATGGGCTTGGCTTGGGACAAGGAATCACAGGGTTGCTGTGCAAAGCCCGTGTGTTGAGCAATGGCCCCGTCACCCTGTGACTGGAGGTTTGGCCCTCGCCCAAGTCTCTTATCAGCCAAACTGATCTCCCTAATGGCTTTATGGCTGTTAGGTACAGCCGAGGTTTGGCTAATTCATTGGGATTCAAATTGAGCGCACTTCCCAGTGCAATAAATGGGTAAGCAGACAAGGAGGCCTAAAAAGAAAAGGAAAAATAGAGGAAAAATTGCTGCTGCATCTCAGAGTAAGTCACTTCCATCAATTTTAAGATATAAATATGCTTTTTTTTTTWAATAACACTTTTTACTGGTCTCTCACTAACCATGTAGCAGCTCATTAGCAAGTCTTCTTTATCTGAACAGCAAAGACTCCTTAACATATCCAAAAGATTGCCAGTGTTGTGTGTTACCATAAGTGAAAGGATCAGTGAAGTCATTGTTTGCTTTTCTATTCTGACTGGAAATTAGTGCTGAAGTGAACTGGTGATAATATATATGTGTGTGAATATCTGCTGCAGTAGCTTGTGGCTGTGGCCTTTCTTCCTCCCCACCCTGCTATTCATAATACATGCAACAAAAGTATATGCAAAAGAGCTGACAAGGTAATGTTAGGCAAATTAGTTTAAAAATACATTATCATCTGGAAATTTGGTGTTTATATCAYTTTGGGGAAGAGTGCTAAAAGTTCTTCAGGCGGAGATAAGGAAGGATTTAAGTAACTATGCCTGAAGAATTTTATATTTAGAAGAAATAAAATGSAGTCACAGAAGAGGCTAGGGGAGGATGTATGTGCAATTTTTGGGGTTGCATTATTCTGGTTTACACATTCCCAGCCTAAAAGATTTAGAGAAAAGGAAAGACAAACTTGCATGTAGCTCATTTTTAAAGGGGAGAGGAAAAAAAAAAAAAAAGGCGAGGATACTTTTCAATGTGTTACTGTCAGCAAGCTCTATCTGACTACTGTGAAGTAAGTAGCACCCCTAAAAAGCTCTGGGTAAATCAAAGACTGAATCTACTTTATTTGCTTCCTGACACTGCCCATCCTGTGCATTAAGTTTGAGTGGAGCAGTGCTCTTTAAAGAAATTTATTGTCACCTCTGGTGCTTTAACCTAACCTCCTTAGTATTGCATCAGAATGACTCAGTTATTTGTGACATTCTACACAGACTCATTGCAGGTACTTTTGAGGGAAAGTTTGTCATCGTGGTAGCCGAAACTTAAAATTCGACATTAGACTTTTTATGCCTGAAATCATGGTTTCTAATGGCTTTTACAAAATGATACTATTTCAAATTTCCACTGCAGCGTTTTTTATGTTCCCTACTTATTCCAGCTTCTTTGTGCTGCATATTTTCTTGTGCTTGCTGTGGTGAATACATAGTCTCTACTCATGTTTCATAGGCTGCCATGAGCAGACGCTGCTCTGGGTTGGCACCTTMGCTGGGACTTCGCTTACGCCAAATCCCTCTTAAATCCTCCATTAAGATGCTCTTTAAAAGTTTTAAAAGTTAAAGAATATGGGTGAGGCATTATGACTAATAATACTTTCTTTTCCTTGTTACAGCAGATTTAAAGGAGAAAGATGCCAATTGTGAAAAGCGTGAGCAGAGCAGTGAACCAGCTGCTTCAAAGCTCTGGCTGTGGATGTGGGATTTCCATCGTGCCCGTGCGATGCCTTGGGATCTCACCCCGCCAGGTGACCTCTGATGCCAGCTTTCATTCGGTGTCTTTTTCGGAGTCGGATCATCCTCGGGTGCTAATTACAGGTCAGGATTCCTGTCAGAACTGTGCTCTTGCTCCAGCTTCTCTGTCAAGTTCCCTCTCTCCCTTTCTTCCTCCCTAGTGGGAAGAATATGGAAATTGAGGGGAAAGGAGCAGAAAAATCTGCCAAAATCTTCTGGAATTGTGATGAGCTTCCCKATAGGGTGATAACACTGTGGTCCCRTGTAAACTTTTTGCTATTTTTATTCCATAAAGCTAAAACAAGTTATTCAATTGTCATTGAAAATAATTCAAAACCCTTTTATCTCTCTGGAAGAAYAGAACTTGGTTGTCATATATTTCATAATAGAACTCTGTATTTTGCTAACGCTTTTTCTCTGATTAGCAATTGCCTCTTGTCTTTTAGGGGGTCTTGGCCAACTTGGCGTAGGACTCGCTAAACTTCTGAGGTACGTGATGGTTTTGTGACCTGCTCTTAGTGAGGAATTGAGTAGTGTGTGTTTTGCCTTTTTTATTTTTTTTTTAAATACTTGGTTTTGTAAATAACCAGATGAACTAAATTAATTTGTTATTCCTGTGATTGATTTAGGTGTACTGGTGTGGTGTGCTTTCTATATGTATTTTGGTCATGAGTCCAAAAATAATATAATTTTATGCAAGTGACACTGAGTTCAATTTGACTTTAAATGGAAGTATTCACAGTTTGAACCCTCAGAGTAAGCTCAGTTTTTTTCCTTGTTTTTTTTCATRGTGCAGCAAAATACTGCTGGATTTGAGTGCTCAATAGAGGCGAATGTTGGGATTTTAAACAGGCATTATGTGGCTGTGTGGAGGGGAAAAAAATCAAAATATATATAGTACTTTGCTAAATATCCAATTGTTAGCCTTTATGACTTTTTTTTTAATCTCTCAGAATTTTAGTTTAGTAGCTTCAGGAGTAAGGTCTCATATTGAGTAGAKTTTAAAGAAAAATAAAGATTAGGAGATGAGGATACAAGATCTTGAATTTGTTATGACTTGGTGAAAGATGAGCTGATTGCAGCAAAAACACAACTTATRTCTGTCTCTTTCTTTTTTTGTGACTCTTGTGTTTTCAACTACTTTTAAGATATATTTAAGAATTCTGCAAATAGCAGAAAGCTGGAATGTACTCCTCCTCCATCAAACTTGCTTTAATCTTGTGTTGATTAGAACAGCAGAAGTCAGAAATTACTCTCTCGGTGGTATCTACTGTTTAGATATTTCTACTGCTAAACCAAATAGCAGAATGCCAAAAAAAGAAGCTTGTGGATTAGCTATACTATGTGTGKCTGTGTTTTTTTCATATACAGGAAACGTTTTGGAAAGAACAATGTGATCTTGTCTGACATTAGAAAGCCTGCAGATAATGTTTTTTATAGTGGTAAGTGACATGGTTGAGCATATGGAAAAAATCTTGACCTTACGTCTGAGGTCAGTAAACAGATCATCAAAGTCTAAACAATGTGTGGATGAAATGGAATGAAAAAATCAAATTAAAATCATTCAAAACTTCTGAATAGTTCCTTTTGGCTTTGAAATCTTTCTAAAACACTGACTCTCTCTGTAGGACATCGCCTTTTCCTAAATGTGTATGTTTTTCTGTTTTACAGTGTCTTTGCCTTTTTATGTTGAGTGAAATGAATACTAGAGTTGGGCCTGTTTTTTGTACTTCTGCTGTAAAAACAGATGCACTTATTCTTTAAGGCTAAACAAGTTGGAATTTAAATTTGTGTTTTTTTTTTCTATACTGAAAAAAATTGTAGTTTAGCTTACTACATTTTCTTTAGAGGTATGAATGAGTTAACTTTCTTCCTCTTCACTGCTTAATATACTTGGATTTTTGAGTAGTATAGTAGCAGATGTTTCTGCTAATTACTTGAGCATTGCTGTGGGAAGGTATGTGTTTTGTTGTGCAGTCAAATCTTGAATAGATACTTGGGCAAGAACCAGCAAGCCGAGCTTCAGCTTGAGTTTTTYGTGACCTTCGTTCTTCTTGTCACTCAATTTCCTTTTGGTTCCGTTTCTTCTAGGTCCTTTTATCTATTCGGATATCCTGGACTACAAGAATTTACGCGAAATAGTGGTGAATAACCGAATAACTTGGTTGTTCCATTATAGTGCTTTGCTCAGCGCTGTTGGAGAAGCTAATGTCCCTCTGGCCAGAGCTGTAAATATTACTGGTAGGTGATTTCAGTGCTCTGCAACAGTGATTTCAGTTCATGACTTCCACAGAGGCCTGAGGAAAATGCAATGTTCATTCTGAAAAATCCTGTTTATTGTTCCAGGTTTGCACAATGTTCTGGATATTGCAGCTGAGCACAATTTGCGACTCTTTGTTCCCAGCACAATTGGAGCCTTTGGACCCACCTCTCCTCGAGATCCAACTCCTGATCTCTGCATCCAGAGACCAAGGACAATCTATGGAGTCTCTAAGGTGCACGCTGAGCTCATGGGAGAAGTAAGTGGAAGAAGAGGCTGTTAGACATCATTCCCTTTAGTTCTTTTGGTTTTGACTTCTCTGCATTACCAGCCATTGTAAATGGCATAGTATAAAAAGAAGCTCACAAAACTTAGTGAAGGCTTACTAGAAAAACGTGGGCTTCTGCCAAACAAAATAACCTCCTCTCCTCTCTCCCCAACTAACCCCCCAGATGGAAGCCGTAGGTTTTTTTTTAATGTGCACAACTTATTATTTATTTCTTAAAATCATGAAATTTTTAAAAGTAATACTTGATATCTACTTTCTTCTCACTGTAATACTTCATGCAGGAAAAAAGTCAGTTCTGGAGGTTTTACTACCCAGAAGTGTTTCAGAACTTAGGAATTGCCAATTTCTTGACACTAACTCTAGTATTACAAGCTGATTCATATAAAGAATCCATAACTAAGTGTGTGAATGGAAGCTAGAAAAGTATGAGCAGAGAGCTTACTTTGCAAGGAACAGGGACTTCCTAMTTGGTAGTCCTGCTCTTTCATTCCTATCATGGGAAGGTCTTAAAATGGGACAAGCAGATTTGTTTTGTGGAAACAAATTGCCTGATTTAATCTTGATTTGTAAAACTGTTTCTCCCTTCCCCAGTATTACCATTACCGATACGGCCTAGACTTTCGATGCCTGAGGTATCCAGGAATTATATCTGCTGACTCTCAACCTGGAGGGGGCACAACTGGTAAGTGACTTGCTTTTCTCAGTGCCCTAAGAATAGCAAACACAAAAAAAAATGTAGTTTTTATAATATGTTTATAGAAATTTAGTCCTGGGCCATATAGAGTAACTGTTTCAATAGAAAACTGGGACAGTACTTGTGCCTACTCCCAGCTTAGGACATACTTTTATAGTCTTTGCCTTTTAAGGTAATCAGAGGAAATTTGGGTCAATTACAATCATTGAGATTATTTCCTTTAAAAGTTTTAAGAACTTTTTTTAAAACTCTATTATTCTGCTGTGATGTACAAATGCCAGAATAGCATCAAAGGCTTAAATTGGCATCCAGTACTTTTGTGGTACAATTTAATTCATGCACTTTATTTTTGTTTTTTTGTTTTTTTTGTTTTTAACCAAGTTATTAGACAGGAAACTTTGGGGATGGGATAGGACAGTTGATGTCTTAGTTAGCTGTCATAAAATGAACAGTAAAGGGAGTCAAATGAGAACAAATGTCCATTATCTTTTTATATAGATTATGCTGTCCAGATTTTCCATGATGCCATAAAAACTGGCAAATTCCAGTGCAACCTAAAGCCAGACACCCGTCTCCCTATGATGTATATCGATGACTGCCTGAAGGCAACTCTAGAAGTCATGGAGGCCCCTGCTGAGGCACTGAGCATGAGGACATACAACATCAGTGCAATGAGCTTCACTCCAGAAGAGCTGGCCCAGGAGGTGCAGAAGCACATTCCTGAACTGCAGGTGACCTACAGCGTGGATGCAGTCAGACAGGCCATAGGTTAGTACCCTCTTCTTTGGTGATCTTTCCTTTTTAGACAGTTTTAATTACTGCTGTGCAGTTGAAGTTTCAAAATCCTGCTTTGGTGGCTTACATGGCCAGTGATAATATATCTTCAAGAGATCCTTCTTATACCTCATGATTTTATTTTTTTTTCTTCTCTCTTTTCACTGCAGCTGACAGCTGGCCAATGAACTTTGATGACAGCAACGCCCGGAAAGATTGGGGGTGGAAACATGATTACGACCTCCCTGAATTGGTGACTACAATGTTTAGCTTCCTTGGATCTGACTCCAGGATTGCTCAAGCTAACTGAAATACTTTGTAAGATGTTTCCACATTTCCACAGAGGACCAGGAAGAAATGGCTAAATTAGTTTATAGTCTTCTGAGTCTTACAGCATGTCAATTATCACTTTTTTTCCATAAGTAACAATAGAGTTGGACAGAAAAATATTGTAGCTGGCATTTACTACTCATAGCTAAGTTAGATAAAACAAGTCACTTGGTACCATTTCTGACAATAGCACCGATGACAAGCACGGAGATCTCAAACTTTCACACTTCAATAGCTAGAAAAAAAGAAACCACATACTCCTGCCTGATGACTTTCCAATCATTCCTATTGCTTGGTGGTCCTTTAGCAAAGGACATGGGCAATATTGTCAACCTGGCTGTTTTGAGCGTATTATACAGAGTTAACAATATGTGTTTTGCTTTCTTAGTGAAAGTTATGTCGTACTAAGACAGCATTATTTCTTCTTCCTTTGCCTACAGCTGAGAGATTAGAAATACTTCACGTTTCAAAATTGCAGGGATTGTTGCAATTTTAGTTTGAAATGAGACTGTAGTTAATAGTTCCTATATACATACACACGCAGTGCTATATAAACCTACACTTGCCTATATGTAAGGCRTAAAATGTGGCATTATTCTTTTGAGGCCTATAAATGTGAAGGGAATTAGGACTTGAATTCTCACAGTGCTTCAAAAATACCAGGGTATACAAGCTAAGTTTTGTCCTGTTCTTTGAAAATGCTGCTGCCTTCAGTTTAACCTTAGAGATAGGTTTGTACATGCAAATCCAGGGCGTAATTCCAGGCCTGGGAATTGGGTTATTGTTAATTTTTGCCTTTGTTTTCCCAGTTGTTTGTCGTCCTGCATGATCATACACTGCCTGGAACAAATTTTGAAGGTGGGCTGATTAAGGTAGACTTACAGTAGAGTCGTGTCAGCCTTTGAAACCATTCGTGTTCACTACATTCACTATATTTTTTTCATGTGCGCTGTATGTATATTTTTAGATATGTGTATGCAACTGTTATATGTTTTAATCCTTTAGAGAAGAATCCAGAAGCAAAAACTGTTATCTTCTTATATTTATTTATTTCAGGGTTTTAATGGCAGCCTTTTCTGCCATTCTTGTCTGGCTTCATCACATAAAAACAAAAGCTCAAGCTGTTGACTTTAATGTGAAAGATTGATTGTTGTTTAGAGCCAAGGGGCCTAAATTACTGATGTCCCTCCACTCCCCTCCCTATAGAATGATGGGGAGTTCTCAATCTTTTCCTAGTAGTTTCTAGTTACAGTTAAAGATTATTCCACTCGTTTGAGTTTCATGCACAGGAGATCTAGGGATAATTAAGAGAGTCTTAGGAGATGCAGATAAATAAGATGCCTACTCAGAGGCTGCTGCAGAGACTTGGAGAACAAGAAATGACAACCTAGAGATTCAGGAGAGCCATTTTTACATAAAATTATTGATTTCTGTGGTGTAAATCTGGGCTATATTACTGTAGTAATATCATGCTTTGATAAATGGCATCTGGGAACTTTTACTACTTTTTTATTATTTTCAGGGAAAAATGTAATTCACTTTCAGAATAACTTCACGTAAGGAATTTCCAGTTATGAATATCAATTTTTTTTTGTCTTGGATACTCCAGCGAATCTTGTGGATTCACAGTGAATCTCATTCTCAAATATTTTCTTGTCTACATCTCGTTCACTGTGTTTTCTGTGAACAGCTCTTCACTGTTAAGCTCTCTGTAACCCCTGCATGATCTGATCTTTGCCTCTTTGTGAGGAAATCCACTGCATTCTGCATGGAATGTGTCTTCTCATGAAAGCAACCCTCAAATGACGACTCTGTGGTGAAACGCTATTATTTTAAGCATTTGTTGAACTTTTATTTCTTGATTTTTGTATGTATCTCATACTGTTTAATCTATTGAAATATGGATTTTCCAGTTATTTAAGCTTAATCTCAAGGGATGTGGCCCAATTTGAAACTTTTTTTACAGTGTTTACATTTCTTAAGAGTCTTTTTTTTTTAATGGTGGCCACTGTGGTAGTTTTCACATTGTTCACATGYAATATTTGGCCCAGTGGGCCAGCAAAATTGGTCTCAATCACACCCTACAAGAAAAGACTGGCTCAGATTTTGTCCTCTGCCAAAACAGGATTATCTTCTACTAAACTGTTAGCTTGAGACATCAAATGAAGGCTTTGTTACGATCACAAATGTCTTGTCTATTCCAGTCTGTCATGATTCACTCTCCTTATACACATATTCTCAATATGTATATTGATGTATATATACACCCACTCTTTGCATTTAGTATATATGCATAGATTTGTTGGTGGAACTGACTTCATTTCCCTGATTCAGACACAATTAGAGGTCTTCTCCTTTATTCTAGCTCAAAGCTTGGGTTAAGCAAAAATGTTCTTTCTGATACAAACCCTTCTTGGTTGTGGTGTTGCACAAAAACTTTGAATAGGATGTTGCAGTGAAGATGAAACACCAATCTATGGCATTTTAAAGAAATCTTCTGCCAGTTGTCACTGACACCATTTAAGAAAGTTCTGTTTTGCAAAATATGAAATCAAACAACTGTCTTTTACAATATGGCTTGAGGTAAGGATGGGATAGTCAAGCAATGTGATGAGATATGGCTACCTAGTCTAATTCCTGTTTGAAATTCTAGTTTTCAACCTATGGCCATGCATTTTCCCCCTTCTCTTCCATATATTCCCCATGACCCCCGTGGCTTTGTTAAAAGTATTTTCTGTGTTAGACCAATTGACGTGATACAAAATGTATAACTTTTGCTACCACTTTGAAGTTCAGTTTTTTGGGGCAGAGACTTCTCTCGTAACATTTGAGTACTGTAACTGTTACATTACCTGTTCAGGAAGAAAAGAAAAAAAAAAAAAAGAGTATTTTTTTGTCTATCGTTAGCCATGAACAATGAGTACTTTAATAAAAACCTATACAGATACGTCCTTGTTTTATTATCCTTGTTTAAAACAGCTAAAGACAATGATCCAAGGATGCTGCGTAGTGGTGCAGCCTCTCCTTGAGCCGCAGGAGTGAAACATGAGGAGAGGCTTAAAGAAAGACTGTGCAGTGACTCCGGGGCTCCGAAATGTTTGCCTGGATGTTTAACTTTCTGCTGCTTCTTCCAGTTGGTCTTTGTTGCAAACAGTTGCTCAAAAGTAGCATGTGATTTACCCTGATGGCAACAGTCCCAGAAGTACTGGGTTTCAACTATTTCACCTGTGCCTTCTAGTTTTCCCTAATCTTTTTCCATGTAGGGARTGGAAATCCAGTTGCTCTGTCCTCAGCCTTATTTCCATCCCTGTTTTGATCAGCGTATCCCTGTAATTTCAAGAGCGGAGCACTGCTGTTCTGGCAGAAGAGCTTCAGAAACTGCATGCCAAGGATTTAAAATTACAGGSCCTTCATTCCTTCTCTTTTGTGTAAATCTCTTTAGTTATGCAACAGCTGAGTAGCAGGGATCAGCAGAAGTCTGTACATGTACAAGTGAGAGCGAAGCACATGGGCTCTTGTTCTTCCCAAAACTTATCATCTCGGACCTACCCTGCCTCGTAACTGGGTGATTAAACCCTCCCTTCCCATTAAGCCAGGCCTTTCCCTCCTCCTACACTTTTACTTTCTAATGAGGGRAGTTGCTTGGGGCGGAGGAGGCCTTTCATTTAGCGACAATTTAAAGATTAGTGCAACCACTATGTTTCTTGCAGAACAGTTGCAGATCTTGGAGCACCCCGTTCTCTCCAGCAGCTTCGTTCGTTTTGGTAATCAAGTTTGACTCCTGTTTACACAGGTCCAGCTTGGCTTCTACAGGTACTTGAGGTGCTTGTGCCTCCTCCAAACCTGCTGCAGGCTGGGGAAGCATCTTCATTTCCTTCAAGGTTATTCAGCAGACCCTGGAAAAAAAACAATCATTTCACTTATCTCTACTTTTCAGCRATTAAGAATATTTGACTGAGTTCATGCAATGACAACAGAACACTTTCGCTCTTGATTTATTTCTTTCTTCTCTTACTGATTTGCGTGCTGACACTGTTATTTTTTTTTTCTTTTGGCTTCATTAAAGAGGGAATTCATGGATTTGAAGCAATGCCGACATCAGGGTGCTGGGTAAATGTACACTGGAACAGTTTAAACTGAGGAGCTCTGTTCCTGCTTGTGCTGTGCCGACTGATGGCAGGTTTTGAGGTCGGTACCAAACTATGTCTATCTGTGGCAAGGSGCCACTACTACCTAGACTGCTGCCTTTGAAACAGAGCCTGCAGTCACTGCTCCAACAAGATCTCTTCTGTCACGCTGGAAAATCACTGTCCAGGTCTGGGGCAGAACTGGAAACCCAGCCAGAGTCTGGTTGCTCTCGTTACRACTTGATTCTTTTGCTTCAGCCCGTGCTAAGGCAGCTGCTTCCACTCTTCATTGCCTAAGAGAGCTGGGGCTATGCCCACATAACCACTTTGCTTCGTAGAAGACTCTTGCTTTGCTCCTTGTGTTCAGCAGTGTCAGGTTGTGATCGAGGGCTCTGCCTGCCTCTGAGGAGCAGTCAGACTCAGGGACCTGGTGGCACAAGAGCTGCAACACTGAGAGCTGTCCAAAAGGACAACATTAGTGTCCCTCTTAGTGGTGGCCAGGGGCAGGCCAAGGGGCAGTGGGTGCAGGTTGCAGCGCAGGCAGCTCCATGTGGCCGTGAGGAAGAACTTGTTTGGTGGGAGGGTGCCCGAGCCCTGGCCCAGGCTGCCCAGGGAGGCTGCGGAGGCTCCTGCTCTGCAGATCTGCCAGCGCGCCGGGATGCGCCCGGGTGCCCCGTGCTCCGGGTGTCCCTRCTGGAGCAGGGGCTGCGCTGGGTAATCCATAGGGATCCCTTCCAACCTGAACCATTCTGTGATGCTGTGCATCCGTGTGGTTGGGCTGCCTGCGCTTCATGAAGGCGTCATGAAGCCCTTGGCTTCTGTTTCAGCTGAACAATTGCTGGAGCYGTGAACCTCTGCCCTTCTCTTGAGGTCTCGGACAACTGCTCGCCAGAGCAGACAACTGSTCCTTGTGCTATTTCGCCTTCTGCACCGTAATTGTACATGGTTCCAAATTTGTCATGGGTCCCACAAGGGGACCTACCGGGGACATGCACTCCCAGGGCTGATTCTGCTGTTTTTCCTTCCTGGGATTCATATCTATTGTCCTTTACCGCTGCGTGCACAAATGCTACTTGTTCTTCAAGCCAGCCCCGRCTTCTGGGACAAAATGAGGTGTTTGGTCACTGTAACCTCATCCAGCAGCAGGGAGGAGAGCCAACGCTCAAGGATGAYTTTTCCCCATGGAAATAGGGTCTGCTGAAAAGACTCTTCAGCAGYGCGGTCGAGGACCTTAGATTTGAAGTAGGTGTTGACCAGCCAGGATAGAAATTTGCTTCCTGCACCTGAGATTGCATTGAAGATCAAATTAGGAAGGGCCCTATGATCTTTCTGGGAACTGCTGGATATATGTTGCCTGCTGAATGGCTTTATTGAAWAAAAGTGCTGCCCCTCCCTCCAAAAAATGCTGAATTCAATGGCATTTCATGTGGAAAATGTATAGCTTTCCTCTAGATGATGTTTTGGAGTGAAGTCAGAAATTTCCCATATAAATTTTATTAGGACAGGATGTTCAGTTTGACTTTTCCAGAGCTGCCTTTTATCTTGAAACGTGCTTCATCTCGGAGCATTTTCAGACAGTGAGAAATTCCATTCCTTTTCTTCATCTAAAGGCATTTCCTGGCACAAAAAATGCCAGTTTTCCCAGGCAGTTTAAGCAGACTGCATCCGAATGCAGGGAAGAAAACGGGAGCCCTCAAAGAGCTCAGGACTTGAACGTTTTGTTTCTTTGGATCCTTGCAATCCCTTGGATCTCTAAAGACAGAGCAAGCCCCATCCCACTGTGCAGGCAATGGGTGAACAGCTCATCCTGGCCCTAGAGTTTTGAAGTCTCACAGCACCGTGACAGGTGGATATAGATAGAGGGGAGAGCCTGGAAAACTGGGGGCTTGGCATCATGTTTGGAGACATGCTGGATGACTCAAAGCCATCTCTGTGCAGCTCTCAGCTCGTCTGGAGGTTTAYGACATGGAAAACTGCAGCGGAAGGGTTTATTTCCTAGTACACATGTAGCCTTGGATTTCTCATCCATGCTTTTCCAGAGCCCTTGGTGTGGGCCTGTTCCCAGCCCCCTGCAATGGTTGTGGGTGCTCCTGGATCCTTGCAATGGCACCAACCTGGCTCTGTCCTTGGGAGCGAAGCAGTTCAGTCCCTCTCAGTTGGGGAGTGAGGAAAATATCCTTGGGGCAGAGAGGGGAGTTTTGGGCATGGGAAAAAGCAGTGTTTTACCTATAATTACTGCCCTGTATATCATCTACCCATCCCACCTGCATCACTGCCCTGCTGCAGGATGCTGAGCATGTCCCCAGCTGCCTTGGGCCAGGGCAACCTTTGCTCCTACTCCTGTGGGCCTCATTAGCCCTCTCCTTGGCAGGGAGAACCCCCTGGGACTGAGTTCCCAGCAGGACAAACACATCCCTGGGCATTTCTCCTCACACGGTGGCCTCAACCCATGTGGCCGGATGGGTGGGATGATGTTTAGACCAATCCTCAGCGGAGGAGGTTCTTGGCAGAGGACATCAGAGTGAAGCTCCATGGTCACTAACAAACCAATAATTTTTTGGCAAGGAAGGAGCATTGCTGCAAGGATGGTCTCTTCTCATCCATCCTGTGCCATAGGCACTCAATCCAACCAACCTTTTGGTAACTTTCTATGTTTGGGCTTGATGATYTTGAAGACCTTTTCCAACCATAATGATTCTGCGATAACGCTGGTGTAAAGAACCATCATCAGTAGAGCTGTCACAAGTGCAAGGACAAACCAAAGTCCAGAGTTCGTCCCTGGACCATCCCCTTCCCGTTCAGCCAGCACTGGCAAACCTGATTCAGCACAAGCTTGTGTCTTGAAGCTGATTGATATTGGTGTCCACCAAAAGATTCCATTGTTGTTATATTATTCAATAGCTTTTCTGTGAGTGGGTTCTTTCATGTCTGGTGGAGGATTAGGCTGAAAGGGCAGCCCTTTTCCTTAGTGGGACTCTGAGCATGCCGTAGTAATCCAGTATTTTTGCATTATCTAATCGAGAGAAGAAACAGCACACGGAGAAACAGGCCCAGATACTGTGGAGCTCATTTCCATATAAAGCTGGGCTGGAATTATCCTKGAAAATGAATAAACTGCTCTCATTCCACTGGCTTTTCCACAAAGGAAACTTTCTATAATTATTTTATAAGATCAGCAATGTTCCTTTTGCAAAAAGACAGCC